CGTTGCTACAAAGTTCAGAGAGGTTGCTCTTCGGTCTTATTTTAAAGTCGATATTTTGCTCTGATACGTAACACCGGGTTGGAGGATAAACGCTTATTTTATTTTGCATTGTTTTGGAAATTCATTGTGGAGTGTTTAAACTCCTGAGTAATTGATTTATGATTCATGTTGGATTGAAGTTGTTTTGGATGAAAAACATGAATTATTTTCCGTTGCTTAATAAAGTTGATTTTTATGACTTTGGTATTTATTGTTAATCTGAAAGGTGTTATGTATCCCTTTTAATTCTTTGAGCAAATTATGATTGTTTTGAGATAGTGTAGCATCCTAAATGTATTTTGAAGGAAAAAAATTACTCTAATTTTTATATTAATAATCGCCGAAGAGTTTAGGGTGTTATATATATAATACAAGAGACATTATCTAGGTGAATAATAACCTTTAACTTGAAAAGATTTTCTCTAGAATAAAATTTATCTAGCAGGAGATGCCAACATAATACCACCACCTTAGACAAAGCCCAACTATCGCAAATAGGTGGGAGAGTAACAATATTCTTCATTTAGGTGAGATCATAAGAATTTATAAGGTCCATTTGAATTTGGTAAGGATAGGAAACAGAGAAAATATCATCTTTATCATGTCTCCAAATCCATCTATCTATATCCTCACACAAAGAAACATTTTGGATAACCGAATAGAACTCTAAAACCAAATGCTCTTCATGGACGAATAAGAATCGTCCCCATCTCAGATCCCATGAGATTCTCCCATCCATCGACTAACCTATCTCTTTCACACTTACATTGAAATGTGATATTTAGACGTGCATTCCCAATCCAAAGACCCGTCCAAAAGAAGGTCCGAAGACATGATCCCACTTTCTTGCTGATACCATCCTCGAACCAATTGGAAGTATAATATTTATTTTGTATCTTAGAAGATACACTTCATTCCACCAAGGAGAAATTGAGGATAATCCAAAAGACCTACCCCCACCTATGGAGGAAACTAATGAATCACCGTATCTAGCTACAAGTATATCACACTAAAAACTGAAGGCACCCGAAATCAGTTTCCACCTCCATTTGGCCAAGAAGATCAAATTGACCATTCTGAGGTCCCTAACACCCAAACCTCATTTACTCTTAGGTTTATACACATCATATCACTTCACCCAAGAGATTTTAGTCTCACCTTTCCCACCACCCAAATAAACGTCCTTTGAATCCTAACTAATTTCTCCCACACCTTTACTAACATTTAAAAAAAGATAGGAAGAAGATATGAATAATATTAAGAACAAAATTAAGATTTAAGACTTGTCTTCCAAGGATAACATACTTTTGTTTCTAAGGATTTAGTCTCTTGCACATTAGAATAACTAGAGAGCCTTAAGTGCTTACCAAAATAGCACTGAATCTTACAAGCAGACCCATGTACATAAAAGGAAGAGACTCAATCTCAGTGTATAGAAAACCTCGAGCTGACTCTAAAAAGTCAAGATCCATATTAATTCTAGTCAAACTACTCTTAAAAAACTGACTCGATGACTTAAAGCAAGTTCAAAACTTCTAAAAATAACTTTAATACTCCAAAAATTCTCAACCAAAGACTTAACCAAGATTAATGTTTCATCTTCATCTTGGAGGTGGGAAACCACCAAATTTAAGGAACCAACCCTAACACCTGAGAAGAGGCATATGTCATTAGCCCTCCTAATTAACCCACGAAGGCCTTCAACCATAAGCAATAATAGAAAAAGGCTAAAAGATCTCTTTATTTTAAATCCTTTTGAATCTTAATCTTTTGGGTTGGGAAACTAATAACCAACACAAAAAGGTTACCGATAAACACACAAGCTCTAATCTAGAACCTCCACTTGTCACTAAAACCAAATCTTATGAGCATGTAATCCAAAAAAAAAAAAAATCCAACTGGCTGAGTCATAAGCTTTTTTAAAATTCACTTTGAAAATAAGACAAACCTTTATAGAGAATCTAGCCAAATCACTCACCCCATTCACAACAACTACACCATCAACCAAAAGCCTAACTTAAAAAAAAGCCAATTGATTAGGAAAATAAGTTTCACCATTAGCAACCCCAGTCTATTTCCTACTAACTTATAGAGGAAACCTACAATAGAAATAGGTTGAAAATCACTCAACAATCATGGATTTTTAATCTTAGGGATTAAGGATACAAAATAAGAAGGAAATCTATGGAGTAGCGATGCGAACTAGTGAAACTAATAAAAAATTGATTCCTATATATTTCCTTAGCAAATTCTAAAATCTTTTCGGAAGAAAAAGTTAAATTCATTAGGGTCATGACTCTTATTCCTATCACACTTCACTACGACCTCATCTAGCTCCTCTAGCAGAAAAGGAGCGATCATGATCTAATTATCATCGACTGATAAGAAGGAGAAAGGAACTCCATCAAGTTTGAGACAATCTACATTTGACTCTTTAAAAAGATTGAAAAAATAATAAAAACTTTATTGTCTAATCTTAGACACCCCTTCTAACCAATCATCACCCACATTAAGGGCCAATATAACATTTCTCCTAACTCTATTTTTGACAAAAGAATGGAAGAAATCAGTACTAACATCGCATTCCTTAAGCCACTTAGCTTTGGATCTTTGAAATAATTGAGAACCTTTGATTCTAAGAAAGGGCCAAAGATCCACAATTGCTTTAGACCTAGACCAAGTATCCTCCTCAAATAGGACTCTTTGGTTGGCCATGATGTCTAAATTACTTATCACCTATTTAAAAGACTCAATTTGATAATCAAGATTTTTCAACACTTGTTTATTTTAAATATTTAGGTTAGATTTTAGATATTTAAGCTTTCATGTAAGAACAAAAGTCTTCCACCTTTGAATTGAAGAAGAAGACCAAAAATTTAAAATCATTGCAAAAAAATCAATATGAGATAATCAGTGATTACTGAATCGATAATGCTTAAGTCTTCACGTCTGATTAACATATTTTAAAATGACTCAATAATAATTAGAGATATCTCTAAAAAGAGTTTACTGAACCACAATTTCCGAATAATCTCTCCATCCATTAGTAATCAAAATATAATTAAATCTACTTGTTAAAATTTTTTGAAATGAAAATTAAACCCAAAAATCATTTTTAAAATTTATATTTTGTTGGTTTAGTTAACAATATTATATTTAAAATATTATTTAAAACGAGTTACTCTATGATCCAGGTGAGAATCATCTGAAATCAAACCTAAATTCACTCTTATCACTACATTCTTTATTTCTTCTACTTCATAATCAATGAAATAGTAATTTGATAGAATAAAAATTTATAAATGAAAAATAATTTGGAAAACATTAAACTCTTATCAAACTATCATGAAATTTATTTTTTCAAAGAAACAACCATATAAAAACTGATATTTTGGAAACCTAAAGCACTTTTTAAAACTCTTTTAAATATAAAAAAAAGGTCAAGTAGAAACGCAAATTCTACTATAGAAATAAACGTAAAATTAAAGTACGACAAGACCGATATAAATCCCATCCAACAGTAAAAAACAAACAAGAGTTCAACAAAAAAATTGAAGTTAGAAAGATTTGACACAATCTACTTTTTTGACTTAAGTAATTTTTATTCACAAAGCCGTGTTTGGCAACCGTAATCATCGTCATAATTCATAATCAATTATCATAATCGCTTTTCACTTTTTCAAAAACCAATTAAAAAAAATCAATTCATCAAAATGGATTAATGGACCAGTCAAATTCTCACAAATGCGTATAGAGAGATTTAACGGTTGCCTTTACAAAACCAACCAACCAAATCCCGCCACGTCACCACACCGCGTCGCGTGCGTTTTTTCGAATCAAAATCGAACGGCGGAGAGAGACGTATTCAAAACGGAACGTATTAGTCTCTTTCTGTCTCCGTCCAAAACGTGTTGAAACCGGTTTAACCGGTGACCGGTCACTAAACGGCGCGATGAAATTCTGGTGGACCCACATTTACTTCAACAACCGCTTCCATTACCACCGTCCACCGCCACCTCTCAAAAAAAAAACATTTTCCAAAAAAATAAAAACTTTTTTAATTTTTAATTAAAAAAAAAGTTAGGAAAAAATGATTATTATTTAATTGGATATTAAGATATGATTTAAGAGAGATAAGGGCTTGAAGAGGGTCCTCTTCTGTTCTCTCTTTCCAATTTTTGAAGAACTGAAAATTTTCTATCTGATTTTTGCAGAGAAGGAAAAAAATAAACTCAAGAGAAGAATTGAATATTGATTATTTCTAACATGCAATAGATTTTATTTTTATTATATACAAAATGAGACAGAAAAAAATTAGTTGAAGAGAAAGAGAAGATTCTTGTTCAATTTCAGAATTTGTTCATCAATTGGACTTTTTTCTGATTTTGATTAACACTGTAAGTTTCAAGCATTGTTTTTTTTTTCTTTTTTGTTTGTTGATTAGTTGATTGGGTTTGTTATGTGATTTATGTTAATTGAGATCTTGATTGATTTTTCTTTTGTTTTTCATGAATTATGAGATGTGAAGAATAGTGGGTTGTGTTCAAAATTTGATTTTTTATTTATTTGTTGCTACATTGGATTGATGGATTTGTTTCTGGTGGAGTTGTTGAATTGAAGTTTTGTGTTGTTGTTTCTGTTGTTTTTCTGAATCGGATCTGTTTGTTTGTTATTCTGCTACAAGTGATATTTTATTTTGATTTTTCACTAATCAGGAGATAAAAAATGTTTTTTTTTTGTGGATTTATAGTTGGTTGAAGTGAATGGATTGCGATCTGGAATCAGTGTGCGTTTGTTATATTGATGTTTCTGTTTGTTGATTATAACGGTTATGCTTTGATGGTTTGATGGGTTTTGAGAAATGGAATATGTGATTTGAATTGAGTTTGATGAACTGTGTTTGAGCAGGTTTTGGATTTTGCTGTTGTGGATTGAGGTTTGAGAGGATATTTCGGAGAGAGATGTTGGAGGGTCGTTCCTGTGTTGTTCCGAGGTTGTTTTGTAATAGTTGTGAAACGGAGAACGATTGGTCTTACATGAAGTACATGCTGGATTTGGATATTAAGAATGGCAAGAGACCGATGGAAATTGATGATGCTGAGGATGAGGATGAGCTTCATCCTAAGAAGTGTACTAAGATGTTGGAATCTTGTCATATAGTTGAAACGGTTCGTCTTTCGTTTCAGCAGAATAAGGATTCTGTTCTTCCTGGAATAGATCAGGAAATCGTTGAACCTGTGGATGTTTGTCAAGGGGTGAACTCCGGTGATTCAATGAATTCATTGGATTCTGGCATTCAGCAATCTGATGAGGAGCAGCAGGCTGGAGATTCGTCGGATTCTGGTTCACTTTTACCGCGGATGAACCGAGACAGCTCGATTGCTTGTCTCAGCCGCTGTTCAAGGTCTGATTATGGTTCGCTTGCTTCTCTTAATAGAAGCTTTCGGAACATAATCCGTAGTGGCGAGCTCTACACATGGAGGAGACTGAATGGTATCATGGAACATTGGGTTTATTTCTCATGTGCCCTCCTTGAATGGGAAGCCTATGATCCGATTCGCCAAAGATGGATGATTTTGCCGAGGATGGCTTCGAATGAATGCTTCATGTGTTCTGATAAGGAATCTTTAGCTGTAGGAACTGAACTTCTTGTGTTTGGGAGGGAGCTAAGATCTCACGTGATTTATCGGTACAGTCTTTTGACTAACTCGTGGTCATCAGGAATGAGAATGAATGCTCCAAGATGTTTGTTCGGCTCTGCAAGCCTCGGTGAGATTGCGATATTAGCAGGTGGTTGTGATTCCGAGGGACGTATACTCGACTCAGCCGAACTATACAACTCGGAGGCGCAAACATGGGAGCTACTCCCGAGTATGAAAAAACCAAGGAAGATGTGTTCTGGTGTATTTATGGATGGAAAATTTTATGTTATAGGTGGAATCGGCGGCCGCGATTCCAAGCTTCTTACTTGCGGGGAAGAGTACAATCTACAGACTAGAACATGGACGGAGATTCCTAACATGTCACCCGGACGAAGTAGTAGAGGTTCTGATATGCCTGCTACAACCGAGGCACCGCCTCTTGTTGCCGTTGTAAATAACGAATTGTACGCCGCTGATTATGCTGACATGGAAGTTAAAAAGTATGACAAGGAAAGAAAACTGTGGAATACCATTGGGAGACTTCCGGAACGAGCGGTCTCGATGAATGGCTGGGGTCTTGCATTTCGAGCATGTGGAAATCGGCTTATTGTTATCGGTGGACCAAGGACTCATGGTGAGGGATTCATTGAGCTCAATTCTTGGGTGCCTAGTGAAGGACCTCCACAATGGCGTCTACTCGATCGAAAACAACGATCCGGTAACTTTGTTTATAATTGTGCTGTGATGGGTTGTTGAACCATTGAATGCTGCAAAAACTACACATTATGAAGCAAACTATGATTCATCATCACTGGATTCTTGCTAATTGGTACTACTTTCCCCATTCTTTCTCTGATAAATTCGTATCGAATGCGGGGATGAGATTAAGATATTAATCAAGATTAGTCAGGAGCACTTCAGTCCTTTAATCTTATGTTCACAATTTAATTCACTTTTTTTTGTTCTATGAAAAATTTGTATCATCACCCCATTTTCATTGACAAGATTTTTCAAAGCTTTGGTATCATATATCATCATGTAGCAAAAGAAAATAGGTCAAATAATTGAAGTTCCAACACAGATTTAGTAGGTTACTGGTGTTTGTTTGTTTTAAGCACTTCTCTTGAAGAAATGAAATAATTTTCTTGATTATGTATTGATTCAATTTACCATTGGAAAAATTCATCAACGTTGTATCTTAATCTCTCTATGGTTGAAAAATTGATATGTGACCATTTCATTTATTTATTTATTTGTCCTAATCTTATAAAATAGTACTATATTTAATATATATTTCTAATTCTAAGTTCATGACAATGGTCCTAACCAGCATAGCAGAGTTGCTTTAAATGTTAAGTTGAGTGGTTGAATCATAATTATGAGACATAAAAAGTGTCCTTAAACAACCGTAGTCCTTGTTATAACTTCTGCGATAGTAGAAATCTATTAACAATAAAGTGAAGTATTTCTGTGTCATGTTAACAGTTAAACAATGTTACTAAATGTTAGTAGTGGTGATTCAGATTTTTTGTCACATATTTTGAGATAATGTTACATAGTACTTGTTCATTTGTTGCACTTTGTGTGTCTATGTTTGTGATATAGTCTGTTTGTTGATTGGCTTCTGGTCATCAAGTACTAAAATGTACAGGGTCAGGTTCTGCAAATTTGGTAAAAGTTTTCTGTTGACATACTTTAGGTTGAGGTTAGTGGAGATGTACTATCTCTCGGTGTGGGAAAAAAGTAATATCATAGTATGATTTTTTATAATTTGTAAGTACAAAATTGAGAATTTCTCCCGATTAATCTATACAGTTACGCGCAAATGCAGTTAATTTAATATACACAATCTTTGAGTTTGATATAAGTAGATGTGTTATACACTATGGTTGTTAGTTAGGGCAATATTTTCTCCTTCTGTCTGCCTTATCATTTGTTTGTTTGCTATTTTTATATACTTCTCAGGAATTCAGATCTTATCAGATTTTTGTTTTCTTCCTCCGCACAGTTATGGAAATGTTCAGTCAATCATTCATATTGGTTAGCTCAAGATATACATATAGAGTTAAATTAAATAGGATAACATTCAATTTTCAAAAATATATGCATGATTTCATTCTTTTCCACTGTATTTTTCACTCTTTATCACTTAACCAAAAATAACATGATAAAATATATTTTCTGTGTTGAGTTTACAAGTTATTATTTGTTTGCATCAAGTCTGTTTTTGTAATTAAACTTACCTATGAATAAATTTTCTATAAAAAAATTAATCAGTAAACCATCAATTTTATTACTAAAATATCATTCTCTAATTTGCCTCATAAATTATAAAAATATAATAACAACTTAATTAATTAAACTATTCAATTCTAACTTTTTTTTAAAAAATGATGTTTTTTTTTCTTCAAAGTTTTGGTTGTCTAATCACATATAAGGCCATCAAATTAGCAAAAGAATGCAAGCCCATTTAGCCCAAAATGAGAAGTGGCCCAAAAAATACTAAGCACATATTTGCAATTTGTTTTTGGGATTGCTCATCCACCACACAGTAAAAAATTAATAATGTCTTTAAAATTTCAAACATAATTTTCGAATGCACCTAAAATACGACCACAACCAAGTCTCAGACACATGCCAGAAAAAAGTGAAATAGTTTAGACTAATTTCTGTATTGTTTATGGAAGTTAACTCTTGAAATCATCACTCTTATTCCACTATAAACAATTGCAACTTAGCATATAGTGAAATTGATAATAATGGAAATTGAAGGACAATATTATTATTATTATTATTATTATTATTAATATTATTAGTTAGTATTAGTAATAATAAAATACAATTAGAAGAGAGTTATAACAATTGGGAAAATTAGTGTCACGTAAAAATTAAAAAGAGAAGAAAAGAGAAGGGAAAAATTAGGGCAAGAGAGATTCCTCCATTGTTGAAGAATCAAGGCTGCAAATTAAGATAAAGGGGGTGAATGAGTTCTCTAAATGGTGATTATAGCATGAGAGGTAGTGAGGGTTGCTTCCCCTCTTTAGGTTTCATGAATAATTGATGAATGTTCTTCTTTATTTGATTTTCTGTTGTTTCTATGTGATGGTATGTGAAATTCGTGAATCCCATGATGCCATGTATGTGTTGTTGTTGTGTTGCTCAATGAAAACCCAGATCTGAAAAATTATAGATCTAGGAATATAACGAAAATTGGAGAATTAGAGGTAGAAATTGTTGTAGAATAGTAGAATAACAAAATTAGATGAAGTTTACATGTTAATAAGTGTAAAAACATTTTTTTGGACCCAAATTAGGAGGTTGGAAGTGCTCAAAACGAGTGGAAATTATTATGGTGCGATGATCGAATTTTGATGTAGTAGACTGGCCATACGCGTATGTGGGACGTTCCCAAGGGCCATCTACGTATGGAACACGCCCTGTCCCCAGTGCCAGCACGGCCTTCTGCCAGTACGCGTATGATACGCGTATGAAGGGGAGGCCAAACGCGTATGAGAAGTTTGGGAGGATTTTGAGACGAAAAACGTCTTTGGTTAAACGCGTATGGTACGCGTATGAGACCTGGGCGCTGGAGCAGAACGCGTATGATACGCGTATGAGATGGGTAAGGGAGAAGCCAAACGCGTATGATGCGCGTATGGGTAGGCTGAGGTGCAGAAATTCCTGTTTTCGTGATTTCTTTCCGGTTCTCATTTGCAGTGCAGTTTCTCCTGATTCTTAATGACTAGTATGACTTAGGTAAGTATAAGGAGATTAGTAGAATTGGAAATTGGGATTTAACCATGGGAATTTGTATGAATTACTTGTTTACATTCATGATGATAATGATATGGTGGCCTTATTGGCAAATGTAGAAGGCTTATGCCTTGTTGTCACATAGTTGTGTTGTTGCATGTTGATTAATGCATACATTTCATTGGTGAGGGTTCATGCCCTGTTGTGGGTCTGTAATGGCATTATGTTGAGGACTTATGCCCTGTTGTTACCCAAAATTGGTACTATATTGGGGGCTTATGTCCTGATGGTACCACATGCATTGAGTTGACTTCGTTCTCAATGTATTGCATTATTTTTGAGTGGATGATGTATTATGTGAATGATGAATTGTGTTGCGAAGTATTGTGTGATGTGTGAATTGTATGAATTACTACTCCTTAGCATGTGATATTCATCGTATATTTATTGAATGTAATTCTAACCCCTTTTGTGTTGTTGTGTCTATGCTCCTTGGGGAGTATAGATAACCAGATTACAGAGTAGTGCTTGGAGAGAGTGTTACCTGGTCGAATTTTAGGAGTCACTCTGATATGTAACACGAGTGTTGTATCCCAAAATTTGCCCTCCCATTTTCTTTAAGACATTCTCCCAGGGTTCTCAAATGCTCAAGGTGGCTTAAGAATTGATCAGACAAATTCTCCTCTTAAGCAATGGGTCCACAACTAGGATTTTGTATTTCTCAAGAAAGATTAGGTTTCCAAGGTATCAAGTGGTTTTCATGGTTCTTCATATGGCCCTAAGAATTCTCACGTCAAATATCAAGTCTTGCATCACAAGTTTGCTCAGCCAATGACTCGGATGACTGAAAATCAACTGTATTGGGTAAAAAGTCAAATACGGTCAACATACAGTTAAACTTCAATATTTTTGGTCATCATAAAGATTTTGAAGTCATATTCATCATTTTATCAAGGGTTAGTCACGATTCCTCAAGAAAAGCCATCAAATCATAAAAAATGTCAAAAGTTGCCAAATTAGGGTTTCCTTAGGAGAAGACAACTAAATTTTGACCAAGCATAACTTTCACATGCTTCATCAGTTTTTCCCCAACTAAGGCTCATTTTGAAGGAAATTCAATTCTCTACCAGTTTGTCTCTCTAAGCTCAAGTCCAATAAATGTTTCATTTGAGAGATATGGGCCAATACATTACATGTCATTTCAAAAGTCAACAAAAAGACACTTTTTATCACGACAACTACATCAAGATAAAGTCTTCAAAAGCAAAAATGATCAACATAGGGATTGAAGAGGACATATTTATATTTTCAAAAAGTCTAAGATCACATTCAAAAGATGAAAATTGAGAGAGTTATGACCAATGCAAGTTGGTAAAATTTTAAGCAAATGCATGAAGTTCAAGTAGGGCAAACATGATATTTTGGGCTATTGGGCTATTATTTCAGGGTCCAAGCGTGTTCTATATCTCATGTGCATTTCAAGACTTATTTATACACTTCCCTTTGATTTATTTTTATTTATTTTTGGTTTTTTATTCATTTAAAAGTCAAAATTAAATGAAATAAGACAAGGCCTTCTTACACAAAGACCAAGCCCATATCTTTGCCCTTTCAACCTATATATTCTCTCATCCATTCTCATACAAGGACACGAAACCCTTGCCTCAAATATTTGTCCAAAATATCAAATTTTCTCAAGAACCCTAGATAATTCAAAACCCTTATCACAAGTCCTTTCACTACAAAACATCCATTCCATTCACTTCTAGCAGGCATACAGAGTAAGTGTGGACCAAATTAAATGGTAAAAAACGTATGAAATCTTGTTGCATGACATCTATGATTTGATAAATTTTATAACATTCATATCTTTATTTTCTGCTTGCTTTAAAATGTACTAGTGTCACTAATATGTTCATGAGGTTTGGTAGTGCAGAGTAGAACAATCATAGAGGTCCCATGCAACCAGGATAGTGAATCACCATAGCTACACCGGTTCATGC